GGGCCCTATAGGGAGGGGGCTCCCGCCTGAGACTTCCTCGCAATTCACTCACAAACGAGGCTCCCGCTTGATACTTCCTCCAAATTCAGACCTGAGGAGCCAAAAAGTGATGACAGTTATAGGAATCCGATGACCCGCTCGGATTAGTAACATGATCTGCGGGCCCCATAGGGAGGGGGCTCCCGCCTGAGACTTCCTCACAATTCACTCACAGACGAGGCTCCCTCTTGGTGGATGATGGTGATGGGATGATGACGACGGTGTTTGATGATGATATATGATTGATGATGATGATGATGGTGGTGGTGGTAATGATGACGACGTGATGATGATGGTGGTGATGATGAGTGCTGATGGTGAGTGATCGTGCGATTCTGATGGTAAATGGTGGTGATGATGACGGGGACGAAGTGGTGAGTCAGCGAGTAGTGATGATGATGATGATGATGATGATGATGATGATGATGATGATCATGATGATGATGATCGTTCGATGCCGATGATGGTGAGTGATCGTGCGATGGTGATGGTGATGCTGATGGTGATGATGATGATGATGATGATGATGATGATGATGATGATGATGAGTGGGGAGTGGGGAGTGATGGTGATGGTGATGATGATGCGGAGGAGGAAGCAAAGAGGAGCAGAGGAGAGGGAGGAGGACGAGAGATCCTGCGCGGAGGGTGTGCAGAGAAAACAAGAACCCCACTTAGGATGTGGGGAAAAAGATCCTGGCCACCATACGCTTTCTTGAATGCATGCTTCGAGGCTGCGGACGAGCGCATCGAATTGGACCTCGATGCATCTAAGCAACCCAACGTCGGCTATCTCAAGAGCGAGCTGGCAGAAGCCGTCTACACAGGGGCGCGGAACCATTACCCAGAGGAGGCCTGCTGCAGGCACGGTACTACCACGAGGGCAACGAGCTGAGAGGCGCGAATTGGGAGGGCAGCCCACTACTACGCTTGCTGGCGGACGGGGGATCTGATCTGGATACGAGAAAAAAAAAAACGGTCAAGAACGGGGGGATGCGCGGGACAATTCCATGACAGTCGGTCCCCCAAGCCCTCCTGGGGTCAAACTCAGCTGTTCTCTGGGCCGCGTCCAGCCGTCCCTCTTTTCTGCTGCAGTCAAGCCTTGCAGAATCCTGCAAGATCCTTCAAGAACCTGCACCCAAAGCTTGGTCAATGCGAAGCCTGCAGGATCCTGCAGGATCCTGCACCCAAGCCCTGGTCAATGCGACCCTGGCGCTGCAGGATCCTGCAAGATCCGGCGCTCTGGCTAACCCCCCTTTGTATGGACCCCCGTCTCAAGGCTCCCGAGCATCCCCGCGGGCCTCTTCTCCAGGGGGGGGGGAGGGTCGGGAGCGGCCAAGAGGGGGGTGTCAAAAGAGGGGGGGGGTGCAGATCATGACCGGCGGCATGTGCGCGGCCCAGCGGGGGGGCCAGGGACCTGCTGACATCAGAAGAGGCGCCATGAAATCTGGGGAGATATCATGGCCCCCGCCATGATATCCCCCCCCCCCCCCTAGTCACCACCCCCCTCTTTGCCGCCCCCGAGTTTGTATGGACCCCCGTCTCAAGGCTCTCGGGCACCCCCGCGGGCCTCTTTCGGGCGTTGGCAGAACTGGGTTTAGTGGAACCTGGTTTAATGATTTGTGCCGGGGGCGCCCCCCCGCCCCATTTCCACTAACCGGAACTGCCGTCGCCCGAAAAACACCAGCTACTGCAAACCTGGTTTAGTGAATCTGGCCAATTGAGGGGCCCCAGGGCCCTACCACTAACCGGATCCCCTTACCCGGGGTCCTGGCTATACTCGACTCTTCTCCGGGGGGGGGAGGGGGGCGTCCCGGCCAGCGGCAACAGCAGACACGGCCAGGCTGTGGCTGTGACTGGTGACCAGTTTTTGTTTTCTGGTGACTTTGGACCCCCGTCTCAAGGCTCCCGGGCACCCCCGCGGGCCTCTTCTCCAGGGTGAAGGGGCCCTGGGACACGCAAATAGATGCACACAAATAACAAGATTCCCCATTTTTTCCCACCCCACATTTTCTGGGTTTTTGTTTTCCCCCCCCACTTTCCATATTTTCCTATATCTTCGGGGGAATCGGCGATCAATTGTGTCTGTGTGTTTTGTTCCCTCCTTACAGGAGGAGGGGGGAGGAGGAGGAGGAGAAGGAGGAGGGAGGAGGTGGGAGGAGGGAGGAGGAGGAGGAGAAGGAGGAGGAGGGAGGAGAAGGAGGAGGAGGAGGAGGGGGAGAAGGGGGAGGAGGAGGGCGAGGAGGGGGGGGGAGGGGGGCGTCCCAGCCAGGCTCTCAAGAAGGCGAGCCGGGACGTGGCGACACGGGGGGTCTCTCTTCACACAGGACGAGCGGCGGCAGGGCCCACCCGCAAATAGAGAAGGGCGTGCGCGAGGAGGACGGGGAGTGACCGAAGACTGAGCTAGGCGACGAGCCCAGGGGGGAAATGAGAAGGAGAAGGCCTTCTCAGAAGGCCGCGGGACTTCTTAGAAGTCCGGGGGGCTTCTGAGACGTTTCCTTGGCCTATTTCGAATACAGACAGAACTTCTCAGAAGCCCTCTCAGAAGTCCAGAAACTTCTCAGAAGCCTCGGAAGCCCCGCCCCTTCTCATTTCCCCCCCGCGCCCGCCGCCGATGAGCACTTCTCAGGGCGGAGGGCTCTGGTCGGGTGTTGGCAGAACTGGGTTTAGTGGAACCTGGTTTAAGGATGTGTACCCGGGGGCGCCCCCCCCGCCCCGTTCCGCTAATTCACCGGAACTGCCGTCACCCGAAAAACACCAGTTACGGCAAACCTGGTTGAGTGAATGTGGCAAATTGAGGGGCCCCAGGGCCCTACCACTAACCGGGTCCCCTTACCCGGGGTCCTGGCTATACCCGATCAGGGTGGAATCCATATGCAGGGGAACAAAAAGCGGCATAACCAGAAGAACTCGGAGGTTTGCGCGGGTTTCTCGGGTCGGCGCTGGGGCCCCCCGGGCAGCGCCTCCGGCGCCGCCCCTGGCGCGCTCCGCGCGCCAGGGAGGGGGGTCCAGCGCAGATCCGAGAAATCCGCGCGGACCTCAGAGTTTTTGTGTTTATGTTACCTTTTGTTCCCCTAATATGGGCTGTTGCACCTCGAAAATCAATCCGTCTTGTGATGCACCTTTGGCAGATTCAAGTCTCGAACATCCATCGACACGGCATTCCAGATTTCACCCTGTGCCCTCCACCCAAAGAAAATGCGATGTACAAACAATGTTTCTCGATTTCGATTCGTTTTCGTTCTCCCTCGTCATTGTCTTCAATCCGCCTTTGCTGCAAAACGGAATCGACACCAAAGCGGCCCACGGAATCACCCAAACACCGTTGAGGATGCGAGGGCCTTGGAAGGCCATGCCGACACTGTGCGAGCGGGGCGCGGGCAGCGGAAGCGGCCAAGGATGGGCCGAAGGGGAAAGATCCAGGGGTAGCCTTGGAAAGATGCTCATCCTAACCAGGCGGGTTGACTGTACGTCGGTATCTCTCCCCCTGAGGTGAAGCCAGGACGACGACAAAATCGGGTGAGGAACAATCGGGAATCGAAGATGTCTCGGGCTCCGCGGCCTTCCCAGAGCGTTCCGGAACGCTCTGAGAGCGCTCTGGAGCGATCTGGAACGGCTTTTACTCTCGCCCTGTAGCCCCGTTCGACATATATATATATATATAGATATATCTCTCTGAATATATCTCTCTGAATATATATATATATATATATATATATATATATATGAAACGGTACCTCGCCCCCAACCCTGAGTGATGCGAACAAAGACATGCGACGTCTGGACTCATTTTCACTGCGGGGCTCCCTGGAGGCCGCAACGCCCTCTCTCTCTCCAGGGCCGGCCGGCCCCTCATCCCAAGGTGGGTTTTTGATGGCCCCGGGGCCCGGCCCAGCAGGGGGCGAGAACTCCTCCACACCCTCTCGTCCTGAGTTGTTACTCCAGATTTCGTAAGAAAGGGAGGGGGGTCTCATTTCGGGGGGGGTCTCTTCCAGGCTAACTCTTGGAGGGCCTGGGGGGGTCTGGGGGCGATGTTCTGGAGGGTTCTCCCACGGGGGGGGGGGGTCTGAAATGGCTTGTCTTGGAGGGTCCAGACCCCCTCCCTTTTATTACGAAATCTGGAGTACCCAAACCCCCTCTCGCCCGGCTCTGTTCCCACAGCCCTCCCGTCCTGATACTTGCTCCCCATGCAGGGGCCGAGGCCTCCCCCAAACCCTCCCGCCCTGGCCTGTTCCACTTTGGGTGGCCCAAAATAGGGGGAAAACAAACCTCCCTCGCTTTTGACCACCCTCGCTTCCAAGAGATACCAAACGATGCCAAATTGCAGCCTGTACTGGTCAGGCCGCTAGACGAGGAGGCGCGTGGTATGGCTTGGTTTTGCCTGGAAGCGAAAGCGGGGGAGGTAATTCACGCTCTGACAAAAGGGGGTCCAGCTGAAGGGGGTGGTGCAATAGATTTGGGGCAAGTGTGTTGCAAATGCACTGCGCCGGAGAATTGTATTGCACTGTGTTGCAAAGTATGTCTTGCACGCGAAATCCAGCAATACATCTGCGCCCCGGAATGTATGGCACACCCCACATGTACTGCAACTCCGCAAATCTGTTGCACCGAACCTCTGGCACCACCCCCTTTGTCGCTGGACCCCCTTCTGGGTCAACCCGATCCACGCCGCGAGCGAGGCCATCTTCCCATCCGCTGCCGCCCTCAATTGGGCGCCCGAGTTATCCGGGGTAACTCGGGTCCGGGGTAACTCGGGTTTGGATTCCCGAAAAACGAACCCGAGTTAGCCCTGACCCGAGCTACCCCTGATGATTCGGGGCTCTGGACGCCCGAGTTATCCGGGGTAACTCGGGTCCGGGGTAACTCGGGTCCGGACTCCCGAAAAACGAACCCGAGTTAGCCCTGACCCGAGCTACCCCTGATGATTCGGGGCTCTGACTCAAGCTTGTTCCGGCCCAGCACGGCGCGTCGTCCAGCAGGGAGCGCGCCGCGGAGGCGGCGCTGCCCGACGTCCGCTGCCGCTGGTCGTCCCGGCTGGCCGCGCCGGCGTCCTGAGCGCAAGCGTATAGCACGCGCGCACGGCCCGCGGGGCCTGGCCGCGCTGGTGGGGAGGCTACCACTCGCCATCGCTCGGACGTCTGTTCCCTGTGCTTTTTATCGGTTTCGTGCGCGGTTTTTTCGCCAGATGATCAAGGATGCTCCTCGATTGTCCTCGCCGAAAGAGAAATGCACACGTCCGAGCGATGCCAAGACCCGAGTGTCACGAGCGACGAACATACCCATACCTGTACGACCACCCTGCGGGTGACAAGGAGGCTGGGGGGGAGGGGGGCCGGCACTGGGCAACAGTGGTGATTGTTGCGTTGGCGCTCGCTCTTGGCAGCCTGTGATCCTTCGCTCTTGGGCGCCTTGGTATCATTCTCCCCCCCCGGGAACCAACGAAATGATAATTTATTTCGTTCATTTTGCAAGGGCCTGGGTGGCCGTTTGGGCGCGTCTTTTGGACCTCTGGGGGGTCTTGGAAGCCTCTGGGGGGGCTCTTGGGCGCTTTTGGGGGCCTCGACAGTGCAATCGATCTCACTCGATCGATTGCACTGTCGATCTCACTCTGAATCTCGCTATCGATCCCAATAACGATCTCCCTATCGATATCACTCGATCTCACAATCGATATCACTATTCATCTCACTATCGATCTCACGATCGGTCTCACGATCGATCTCACTATCGGTCTCACTATCGATCTCACTATCGATCGCACAATCGATTTCGTCATCGGTCTCACTATCGTTTTCGCACCAGCGGGACACCGGGACACCGGCAAGACACCGCGGGCCACCGCTTGCCGGAGGGAGAATCATTTGGTCCGGCCGGGGCCCAGCCACAAGCGGGACACCGGCGAGACACCGGCGAGACACCGCGAGCCACCGCTTCTCGGAGGGAGAATCATTTGGTCCGGCCGCGCCTCAGCCACATGAGACTTTCCTCTCGCGCGCCTACGCAGCTTCGCCTCGCCCGCACGCACGGCACGCACGAACACGAAACCGAAACCGATTACCCGGTGGGGGGCTCTCCGTTCCACTTCGATCTCACCCCCCAACCTCCGATCCATGCCCTTGCGGTCTGGATTCCGAGGCACGATCCCATGGATACGCGATCCCATGGACACGTTCCGAGCGGGGCATCCGCGCAAAGCCGCTCCGTATCCATGGGGTCGCGGCCGAGGAGACCCGACCGTGATCCCGTGGATGTGGATATGTCTCCCGCCCCCGAGAGTGCTCAGGTCAGGTCAGGTCGCTCCTGGAAGTCCGCTCGTCGAACTAGCCGTTCCGCTGAGGAAACCGCTACCGCCACTCCCCGCACCCCTCCCGGGGTGCGTTCATGACCGGACTTCGAGGCGAATCTGGCGGTGGCGACGATAGGGCCGACTCCCAGGAGGCTCACAGGGGCGAACACCAGGAAAGGGGTATGGGTACCTTGTCCTCATCTGAATAACACCTTTGAACGTCGTCCTGGCGACAGTCATTCTCGATATCACACATCGGGCAAACGTACATCCTGAGGATCACCATCGAGACATCCCCCGACCTCTCGTGTAAATTGTGCAAATTTCGCCGGCATGCAAACCCTCAATACCAACGCTGCATGTTAGGACACATGGCCGGCACGGCACGGCACGCGCACGGCACGGTAACTTCCGCACTTCAGGAAAGTCGACTACACGCAGGAATGACCCTGGGTAAGAGTGACCTTTGGTGCACGGCTTTTTGGGGGTCGCGGGGGGCTCAAACACCAGCGCGCGAGACGCCACTATCGTCTCGTGCTCGGTCATCGGGGGGCCACATTGGGCCCGCACTACACGTCGGTCGGAAGAAGTAGGTAGAAACATGAAGGAAGGCGGATATAGTGGATTGGATCCAGGTCCTCCCAGAGAATAACAAAACACAGCCAAAGCTTGCCGATTCTTGAAGTAGGAAGGCGCTTGAAGCAGATTGGGATCGGGGAATCCAGAAATACCTGCTTTCAACGACCAGCGTGTAAATTGAGCAGGGACCGACCGTCCCGGCATTCCTACAGTCATACCACGGAATGTTCTTAGAACCCATACGTGTTCTAAGAACAACAACGATGTTCTTAGAACATAAGCCCGATGTGTTAAAACAAGACAGTCCCAGCCAGAAATGTTCTAAGATCATTTCGTGGGAACCACGAAAGGTTCTTAGAACATTGTTTGGTGGGGCTGTAGGCGAGCCGGGACGCTTCGCCACTGCTTGAGTAAAGGTCACTCTGGCGAAAGGTCACTCTCATGTGCAATCGAGAACGAGGTAGGGCACGGCACTGAATGCTTCGCATGCCGCGAGAATCTTGCCATCGCTCGGACGTCCATTCCCTGTGCTTTTTTCGGTTTCGTGCGTGTTTTTTTCTAGATGGTCCAGGATGCTCCTCCAGGGTCCTCGCCGAGGAAAAAATGCACACGTCCGAGCGATGCCAGGGAATGAGGCAGAGCACGGCGCGGTACAACACGACACGGCACGGCAACGTCTTGCCATCCCAAGGCCAGGTCGGGCGCGTCCCCCTACAGTGGGAGGTGGGAGGCAGGGCTCGAGTTAAACAGTGTTTTCCGCTTTCGTTTTGTGTTCGTCATCCCCAGCTCTGTCTTCGTTCCACAGTTGCTGCAAAACGAGGTCAAAACGAAAACGGCTCACGCAACTGCCAGAACACCGTTTGGCTCGATTCCTGTTGAGAGGAGGCATGGGAACACACACCTGCAAAGTGAGACCGAAACGGTCCAAGCATACTAGGAACACCGTCCCCGGTCGGGCGTGCCCCCTACAGGGGGAGTTTGGAGGAAGAGCATGAGACACACCTGCAAAATATGCACCAAAATGGCCCAAGCATGATAGGAGCACCGTCCCCGGATGAATGTTTGACTCTGTTTGAACATTCCCCCTGCAGAGTGACACGCCCGCCCGAACAGCCCAGGGGTCGAGCACGACACGGCACGCGCACAGGGGCAGGGCAGGACCCGGGCACGGGCGCACGAGACTGCACCACACGACACGGGCGCGCTCTACAATCTCCTCTGGCGAGGTTTGGGCGGGGCGCGCGTGGAGACCAGGGCGGGCTGAGAGAACGACGGCTAGGTCGGGCTTCCCCTAATGGCGTCTCGCTTAGAGGAAAAAGAACTATGCACATACACTGATTCTGGCCAGGCCCATCCTGAGCCCAGGATCGGTGCATACGCCCTCCTACCCTGGCCAGGAAGGCATATGCACCGATCCTGGGTCAAGGATGGGCCTTGCCAGGATCGGTGCATGTGCATAGTTCTCTTCGCCCGATCGCTTGGCGCTCTGCTAGCGCCCCGCGCATCGTAGCATGCCAGACAGCGAGCAGTGCGGAAGCACGCCCGGCCACTCGCCAGCGCGGCAGCGCGGGCAGGTCCCCCTTTACAGGCGGATGTTGGATGAAACATTAAACATACTCGAACACAATGAATCGTCGATTCCCAGGAAAATATTGGAAAATATGGGAAGTGGGGGGGAAGACAGAAACCCAGAAAATATAGGGAAACATAAAGTGCTCGAAGGTACCCAAAAAATATTCGAAACATCGTCCCTAGACTATGCCTGGACTGTGTCTGAACATTCCTCCTGCAGAGGGACGCGCCCGACTCAAAACACGGCAGTTCAGAACCAATCCCTGGACCCCTCCCCGTGTCCAACCGCACCAGTTCTCCAGGCTGCGTCCAGCCGTGGCGACGAGGCGGCCCCCGAAGGCCAACTACCGTTGTCCCAGCTCGCCCTCCTCTGAGCATCGGCGCGAGGCGCGTGCGTATATATATATATATAACTATATATAAATATATGTCGGCGTGAGGTGTATCTATACACACATATATATATATATATATACCAGAAGAAAACCGGCATGAACATAAACTTTCGACGGTCCGCGCTGATTTCTTGGATCTGCGCTGGACCCCCCTCCCTGGCGCGCGGCGCCAGAAGCGCCGCTGATGGGGCCTCAGCGAGGATCCAAGAAATCCGCGCAGAGCGCCAACAAAATGATCTTTATGCCATTCTGTTACTCTTCGAATATCGGTTGGCGGCCTACGAAGTGGAGCCGTCGACGCGCGGGGCAGAACGCCCGTCGGGTGGCCTCTGGCCGAATAATGCGAGATGCTGAATGCTAAGGATGCCGATCGCGGCAGGGAGGCAGGTTGGCGCGGCGGTCCTCGTACTCGTCGGGGCCGTCGTCCCCGTGCGCGGAAGCCGTCCTGGGCGCTCCGCGCCGTCGTCGTCGTCGTCGTCGTCGTCGTCGTCGTCGTCGTCGTCGTCTTCGTCGTCTTGGGCTGCGCCGTCGTCGTCGTTGTCGGCGCCTCGTCTGCGCCGTCGTCGTCGTCTTCCACTGAGAGCCTAACTTCGCAATTCTTGCAAACGGGCGATTGCCTTGCTTCAGGCCCCGAGACCACCCTAGATCCATCCAGCTCGCAGTGGGCGACCGTGCCTTGATCCAGGCCCCGAGACCTCCCGGGACCGGCCCAGCTCGCAGTCTGGCGCGGCACGATGGGGCCCGTGGCTCCGGTCGAGCTTTTGCCTGGGGCGTTGCGCACCGCCCACCCCACGCCACTGACTACCTACCAGACCACCCCAACCCAAACCGAAGACTCGAAATTCGGGTTGGGGGGGGTAAGGGTTCCACATGTTTTTTGTTCGATGTTTCCAGAGCCCCCCCCCCGGGTACATCTGAGGCCTTCGGGTTGGGTTGGGGTGGTCTGGTAGGTGGTGAGCCACAGGCTGGCGCTGCCAGATGCTCAGAGCAGGCCGCCCGCAGCCCGCCCACCCTGCACACCTCGGCCGCCAGCTCCCCAGCCCTGGCCTCCCGCCCGCGCGCCTGTCGTCGTCTGTCGGGAGCGGCCAAGAGGGGGGGTCCAGGAAGGGGGGGGTGCAACTCATGACCGGCGGCATGTGCGCGGCCCAGCGGGGGGGCCAGGAACGTAATGAAACAAGAAGAGGCGCCATGCCATCTGGGGAAATATCATGGCCCACGCCATGATATCCACCCCGCCTAGTCATCACCCCCCTCTTTTCCGCCCCCAAGTCTGCCTGCTCCCGCCGGGGCAGCACCGCCTGCCGGGCAGCACAGCCTGCCTGGGACCCGCGTGACGGCGTGCGGGGCTGCAGCCGACGGCAGACTCCTGGCCGCACCACTCCCTGCTCCTCCGAGTGTTGTGGGAGTTCGTGCACGGCAGGGGCTCTTCGCCGAGAGCCCCAGCTCCAGTGGGAGTCCCCCGAGAGTCCCGCCACACCGCGGCCGCCGGAGCCCCGGCTGACTGCCCAACCCGAAGGCCCCAACTTTGGGGTTGGGGGGGAGGGAGCGGGCTCCACATGTTTTGCTCAGTGCCCCCCGACGCCCCTCCCACTGGGAATGGAGGGCGAATTGGGTTCGGGTGGTTTGGTGGGCGGTGACCGTCCACCCGGGCATCCCGCGCGCCGCGCCCCCGGCGAACGGTGCAAAACAGAGCGTAGCATAACACACCACGGCACCACAACAGACCAGAGCACGGCACATGGTGGCCGCACGAACCGCCCGCCCTGCATGCCTCGGCCGCCGAGAACCCCAGCTCCAGTGGGAGTCCCCCGAGTAGCCCGCCATGACGCGGCCGCCAGATGCCCCGTACATCCGAGAAGCCCGCCCCCTGCGCATTCGACGAGCAGTAAACGATGGAACATAGCACAGCACATCATCATATAACATAGCATGATATCGCATATAATGGCACAACATGAAATAACACAGCACACGATCACATGACCGCGCATAACAACACACGCCTGGGTCTAGCACCCAGCATCATGTCACAAACTGACAGGACAGATCCTGACATAACGTAACATCAATTTGCGTGATTGATCCACTGCTGCGACCAATACGGCAACGACCCGAATCTACCATAGCAACAATATCATAGTATACAACTGATGTCACAACACCATAACTGTTATAATGCTGAAACGCGCAGAGTATTGCATAATACAGCAAACTATAGCATGCACACGCACATCGTCACACCACATAACATGACATCACGAAATACAAGACAGTGTGTCATTCAAGAAGCTGACAGTGTATAACGTAAGGGCACACTACACGACAACACATCAGAAACGATACGGCGCAACAGCGGCAGATTTCACGGCGTATCGGACGGGACAATCGTCACGGCGTCACGTCGACCCGTCCAGAACAGAGCAAACCCAAAAGAGTATAACAGCATCAATCATAATTGACTAGAACATAACTAAAGGGGACCCAGGACACACATAAATACAAACAACTAGAAATATTCCGAATATGTTCCAATATGTTGTTGGTGTTCGTCTTTCCCCCACTTCTTATATTTCCCTACATTTTCATGGAAATCGACGATTATTTGCCTGTGTGCTGTTTCCCCCTGAATAATTGACTAGAACATAACTGAAGACTGTCGGATACAACCGCGACCGATGCACGGCGCCCTATCAGACGCAACCTGCGCGCCGACGTAAGCCGACCAAAGGAACAGGCAGGCGCAGGACGATCGATTGGACGACATATCAAACGTGACAGGCGTCACGACGTCACTGAAGGGGCCCCAGGACACACATAAATACACACGCATAACAATACTTTCCATATTTTCCCATATGTTCTAGGTTGTTTTCTCCCCCCCACTTCCCAGAGTTTCCCATATTTTATTGGGAATCGGCGATTCATTGTGTCTGTGTGTTTCTTTCCCTCCTGAGTCACGCCGCCCCGTCGAGAGGAGAACACAATAAACCATATGTAAATGGAATTGAACTGAAACGAACAGAAAGTGACAGAGTGTAGTGCAGCAGCGACCGAGTCACATCACATGCTGCAAGCTGCACGCCATACCAGGCTGGCAACATCAACAAATAATAGTGCGCAGCGTCCGAGTAGACCCCTCGCATCAAACATGACAGGCGTCACGACGTTACGCTGGCCCGTCCAAAACCGAACAGACAATCATATAGTAGACTGGGGTGAAGACAACTAGAACGCATTCTGATATGATAGAACGACGAATTGACGGTATCTCATCAAGCGCGACATGAGCCCCGTGGTCAGGCAGACAGTAGGAACAAACAAGCGCAACAACGACCGATCTCACGGCCTATCAAACGAGAGATGCGTCACGACGTCACGCCGACCCGTCCACAACAGAGCTGCACCTGATATATTATAACAACATCGCGCAGACTTGAATAGACCATAATTGAAAACTGTAGAATAAAGCGACGACCGATTTACGCTGCCCTATCAAACGCGACGTGCGCGCCGACGTAAGGCTGGCCACTAGAAAAAAAACAAGCGCATAAAACGACCGACTGGACGACGTGTCAAACGACACAGGCGTCACGATGTCACGCCTGCCCATCCAGAACAGAGCAGACCCGAATACGGGTGACAAATACATCGAGCATATTTGAGTAGAGCGTATTTGAAGACTCTAGAATAC